GTTGTCGTTGAAAAAAATCGTTTTTCTCTCCAGCCAATCAACCAATCGATGTCAATTTTTCAGTATTTGACGATGGAAGAACTGCTAAGTAGACTTTTACTATTTTATTTTTGAACTGTTTTTCTGAAGCCATGGGACCTTATATCTCACCAAACATTTTTCTTTTTTATCTTAATTAGATGGTAACACCTTTCAATCCGTATTTCTCCACTGCTAGTCCGATGATTTTTCAACGAACTTAGTGCTCTCAGGCCGTATCCCACCGGTACTCTTGCGCGTCCGTCGTGACTATGTAGTTTAGAATTGCTCTCTTGTTTTATATTGAGATTCTTTCTTTTCCCGTATCCCCGTTCCCTCGTAACAAACATTTTGAGTTTGTCACAATTTTTTATGACCAAACTATACACACTTTTTGGCACATTTATCACAATTTTTCATATCGGCTAGACACATCTGAACGTATTAATAAGCGAAAAAGTTGTTACATGAACATTGCACCTGACTTGCAGTACGCATATGGTGTATCTAGCCTAAAATAAAACCTGTCGTTAAATATGGCCGCCCAATATTTCCTCTATAGAGGATACCACTCCATTCAAATGGCGATTTAAAATCATTTGTTAGGATCAATCCACCAACATCAGATCAGCGACAAACAATTTAAATATAAAGCAAATTTTTATGAAATAGATCGAATCGAAACTGACAATTGAAATTTCGACAAATGTGCCAAATTTAGGAAAAGCTGTTCCTATTCGGAGTCGGGTATTTTAGGAAATATCACAATTATGAAGATACTTTAAATTCTGGTGACATGATAAAGAATTTAAAGAAACAATTAGCATAAAATACTCACTTTAAAAATATAAGTTACTCGATTATAAATTAGCGAAGCTGAAAATTTTAATGCCTGTCCTACCCATTGGTGTCATGTACAATATATACTCAAAATATTTAGGCAATCTTAATTTGAATGCATAAACCGAACCTGTCGAATATGGCGTATTTTTTCAATTCAGGACTTATATTGTATTATAGGGCAATAAAAATAGATTAAATATTATAAATACATTTTGATGAAAAAATATTTTTTGGAAAAATTTTTAAATGACATTTGATGCATTCATTGTAATAGACCTTGTCATTCAAAACCCATCCTGCGCGCGAAAAATAAAGGTGGCATAAACTAAACGATTTTAACAGTAGCTCTTATGGGGAATGTGATCACCAGGGCAGAAATTTGTATCTTTTTGTGGTTTTCTAGTTATCTTCCATGTAAACGTGTGCAGTTTTGAGGATAGAATATTTTTATATACTATTTGATATTTTTATCATTATAAACATGATCAAAATTTTTGATAATCGTTCATTGAAATTATAATGGGCGTGGTGTTTCCGCTGGCGTCTTTCTCATTATACCATGGCGTTCTGTCAACGCGTTGTGGTCTGTTAAATATGCGCTCCAACTGCTCGTGTTTCTTATTATGACCACAACATACCGTGTTTGGATTCTTAAGAAAGACCTATTTTAGTTGGTAAAGTTTAGACGAAATGGCAGTCTGTTCACGTATTCAGTCAGATTCACTTTTCCTTACTGGCTTTGCGCATATCCTACCGGTACAGCGAGCGACTTTTCTCTGAAGGCATGTTTTTTTAACCTAGTTAGGATACTGGTACTGTACCGTTATTGAATAAGATGGAATTTTTTCTTTGTTTTTGTATACAACTTATCCTACCCGGACCTGTTTGCTGAAATTTTCGTTATGATTTAGTCCCCCCCCCCTCCCCCTGTTCTGCCCTTGGTACGGTACCCAAGGCGACATCAGTGCTGCAGTTAGCGCGCATATTTTACAGGTTGGCAGAATGTCATGGTCTAGTAGGAGGAGTGACGTCAACGGCAACACCACTCCCATTAAAATTTTAATGTGCGATTATCAAAAAACTTGACCATGTTTATCGAAATAAAAATATGGAGGAATATCTAAAAAAATCGCATTCCCCATAGGAGCCAATGTTAAAATTGTTTTGTTTACGCCACTTTAATTTTTGCGCGTAGGATGAGTTTTGAATGACTAAGGTCTATTATATAGCTATGAAAACGATCTGTAAAATAGAAGTTATATTTACCGACAATGAGCCAAAATTTGATAACTGAATTTTCAAAATGATGCAAATTTCTATTATTCATTGCCACAATGTGGTGATTCCTTCTACAGCATTTTTGAAGATTACACGGAAATAAATTGGTGCAGGTGTGCAAAGTATGATGTAAAATTTTAACACTTCTGTGTCATAAAACCACAAGTCGAACAAAATGATAAATGTATGAGAGATTAGAATTCATTTTGAGTATACAACAACAAACAATACACGCTACAGCGCCATCTTAACTCAGTGCTATTCATATTACCAACCCACTAGGTGGGGTTACAGATCAATATATTTCAAGCCTTTGAATCCTCCCATGCAGTTGTAGTGTGTACAGACTTATCGTTTACGATCAATTTGAGATTTGCAAATTGATTTTAGATTAAAGCGAAGTTAGGTAACTTTATCTAGCAGCGACAGCTGTAGCTACTAGTTCCCAACTTTATAATTATACATTTATACATATCATGCTTAACTACCCACTTACAATAAATAACTTAATTCTCATTGAGTAGTCAGTAGGCCATCTTGAGTGCGTGCATCATTATCTTAAGAAATCTATAAATGTCGAACATGATTTTCTTCGCAATTTTTAGGGTGGGATAAAATAACATTGGAGAAATTTTTTTGTGGATCTTCAAAAATTGTTGTGTCATAATTTGAAAATCAAAATAATCCCTATCTTTATGTATTTTTACTTTAATTCTTTTAAACTGTATATTTAGAAAAAAAAATTTAAATCGTAATTGTCTGATGCGTCATAAAATCATAGTTTTTGCAAAGGTTAAGTTTCAATTTTCAGTACACTATTCTGTTTTAATCTCATTAGCGCTCGTGTATTGCTACAGTTACATCACATTTGCTTTGTCCTGTGCCGGTTGTAATCTTAAGGATTTGCTCATATGTGGGGGATTGGAGACACCTCGGCGTTTCAGTGTTGTATTTTTATCGCATGGTGCCATTTTTCTTCATCACCCTCGACCTAAAGCGCCTTTTCTTTTTCTACGAATTTGAAAAAGAAGTGAATTGTGAAAGCATATATGAATTTTGATGTATTCGTGTATCTCAACTGTTCAGCTGTATTATAAAATATAAATTCGATTACTCTGTAACAATATACCTCGTATGTATTATAAACACTCTTTATGAAAACGACGACAGATATCCGGATAATATAACGCATTTTGAAAACTATTGATCGCTTATAACATTGATGTCGCGCCAGTCGTTCTATCCGTTTTGGTATACATGTGAACAATAAAATATGTGTTAGCCCAATATTTTAGAGTTTTCGTTCCGCGTAAAAATGAAACATGCTCTGGATCAACCCAGGGGGAATAATACCTTTTTTAAATCGAGTTTATGCAATCTTTTCCCTAAAAAGGGAGAAATGAAAAGCATGTAGAATTTTAGAACCTTTACATGAACTACTAAATTACAAGCAGATGTACCTCATTGTATTGACGGGTGGCATCTCTCTACCATTTGCGCACGCGACATAGTAAGTTTACAGCTGGAAGTATCTGGAATTATGGGGAAGCATTGCAGTCAAAAGCTTTTTATTTTTCATATTGACATGTAAGAATTACTAAATAGCCGCACTGAATTAACGGAAGGTGATGGCTGGAAATCCAGTTCACAACCAAGGCACATGTTGACCCACGTTCACGTTTGTATTGTGGCCGCTAAAAAAGAGGGAAAATATATTTCTAAGATAATCTAACAGCTACCTGCGGAACTATTAGGCAAAAAATATGAGCTACGACGCATGTTTGTGAGCGCACGTTCCTGTAGCATGGTCAAAAACGTGTTTTTCTGCTTTTCTATTGTGACGTCACGGACTCGGAAGATTCGATTCGAGTCCTTGACCTATTACTCGGATTCGTCGAATCTCTGTAATGCCGGACTCGTCCCATTCCTAGTGAATCGTGGAATACAAATGGATATAAGTGCACTGTACAATTCAGTTCGATCACTACACAGGCGCAACACCATAAATGTGAATGCGAACCCGATTTTAAAAATATTTTCAAGTGAATTTTTGCCACAAAAGTTGAAATATTTGGCGCATGTAGTTATTGATTAAAACACATTATTTAATGGGTTTAATTCAATCATTAGCAATTGTAGTACATAAGAATCGAAAAAGTCTTCACATGATTACTATATATATACATTATTATACCACGCTTGACTTTTCTTAAATAGTGTTGAAAATATGTCTGAATTTACAATTACAGAATTCAAAAAAATATAATAGATTGCACCTACATCGTCCCTTTTTGTGGCTTGGTTCTCGTAGAGCTGAGCAACGTTTTATTTCTAAAATGCGGGGAATATGTGATGTAACGCCAGGTTTCGGTTGAGAATATTGCGTCGCCATTATATTGACATTATGTAATTACTGGAACGACAGAATATATGTATGCGTCAATAGGTGTAGCTTAAGCAAGCTCATAAATCGTATGGAAATATCATAAAGCCGCAGGCACGTGAACTGTCATTTGTTTTAACATTAATCATTACCAAAACGTATTGGATCACAATACACAAACCATCTCCGGTTGTGTCATTTAATTAAGCAGCGAATTCTAATTTTGTCTTGTCTGCGATTCAGACATTTTGTTTTATTAAATTCAGTAAATTTTTGTCGATTGTTTATACTCCGTTTACAATTTTATCATTACGTATAAAAGTTTAATTGAAAGTAGATCTTAATGATCGGCCTATTCAAGAAAAAGTAAAACTACATGCGCACTCGATATCCTGCATCCCCTTGGAATGTAGATAAGCGCGATTCTGATTATGGCGGTCAAACTTTTTTGAAATCACCGAGAAATTAAACAGACATATAAAGCACACAGGAATGTATTTGTCTATTACCCTTAAATTTATATGAAATTATAAGAAAATATAGTAACAAATAAATCTAACACAAATTGGCGAGCTATATTCAAAGGGTCAAAATTAGGCACATAATAATGTCAGGCACATTGAATGCTAAAGTAAGAAAAATGCGAAGTAAGCTAATTGCTGCTCAAGCTCTAAGTTATTTCAAACGTAAACGAGCTTTTCCATCAAATACAATCATAAATAAAAGTGCATATTTTATACACGAGAACACACACAGTAATAGAAAGGTTTTAATGTTTCGGTTCCTAATGTCAAGTCAAGTCAATTTTATTTTTTAACAGCCAATAAAGCGCAATCATATACTATATTCCTTTAAGTCGCTCGGGTTTTAAATCTGAAGAGTAACAAAATAGCATACTTTCAATTTTGAGGCTTCAAGCGTGACGTTTTTTCCAGAAAAATAACTTGCGCAAGGGTCCAAGAAACGGAATATTAATTCCCGTTGCTATATTTATACGAACCTTCCCCGTGGTTTCGTCGTTACTGTTTCTGAGATCGACGTTCTGAGCACCCCTGTTTTACAACACATGAAAATTCTAGATAGAATTTTCTTTTAAGAGAATGGTTAATTGTACATACAGCCTAGCTGCAATGCTGCTGCTGCAGACGGGTCGCGAGCTACGTGAGCAACCGGATATCCATGGTGGTGTTGAAACGACGAGAAAAAGTCGACAGCAGCCATCTGAGAACTCATGGCAGAATGCCCCGATGAATATGGAGCATGCTGAAATTGAGAAGCGGACGGACCGTGACTGGTCATAGATCCATTGAAATGCGCAGCATGGGCGCCTATTCCTCCACTGGGAGGATGATGATGGCCTATGATCGCTGGATAATGTGATAATGCAGAAAAATGGGACTGATGAAGCCCGCCTGTATTATGATTATAGAGATGAGGTGGTGGAGGAATGCTCAGATTATCTCGAACCTTCTCTTCTTTCTTTTCCTTCTTCCATTTCATTCGTCGGTTTTGGAACCAAATCTTTACTTGTCTATCTGACAAGGATACAGCTTTAGCAACCTCTTGTCTGCGTTCTCGTGATAAGTACTGGTTGTAATGAAATTCTTTCTCGAGTTCTAAAAGCTGGTACTTTGTATAGGGGACGCGTTTTTTCCTCCCGTTCGCTGTTAGCCAGCCTTTTGTTGGATCCTCTTCTGGAACAATAAAATGAAAATATTAGACTGGTATATTTAATGTAATATTGAATTTCTCATATTTCGGCAAGTATATCATAGATATTGTATATGAGAAATGGCTTACAAAACTCTTCCTCTGTTCACATTTCTTTGAAACTATGCCGGTTTTGAATGATAGTTAACCCTCTAAGTAAGTTTTGATATTCATGCAGAAAATTCAAAATTAGGCGGTGTTATTTTAACTGACGTGTTGTATACATAAACACCAGTCGTTGAAAACTATATGCGATAGAATAGCAAATAAAACCAACGTCCTAGTTTTGGTAAGTTATTGAAATAGCAGTTGATTTCGTTAATTGATTTCTAAACACATGTATAACATGAATGGTGCAAAGCAATTTGCGCGCTCCAGTTAGTTTATGATGAAACATTGCAAGTAGTGGCAGTGACAGGCCGTTGTAAAATAATACCGAGTGCTAAAAAGAGATTGAAAGATTTGTCATAAAGCTTGAACCAACAAGGGCACAATAATTCATAAACAAATCGGAAATCGCCTTCATACTTTTAAGTCTATTCTTTCGAAAAATACCTTTTAAAATTTGCCGAAATTTATTCCCATTATTTATTATATCGAAGGGTTCAAACCAGAATTACGAAACTTAAAAACGCTCTCTTGAGAAAGTGAAGAAAACATATATTTTGGATTTTTGGAATCTCATAATATTTTATTGAAATAAAGGATTCGACTAATATTGCTTCAGACCAGGATTTAATACTTTAAGGGCGCGTTTTTCCTTGTAACATTTCCAAATCAAGTTTATTTTTAAATTTTAACACTTGAACTATGTCCTGACATCCTCGATATGTAGATCCGATCACCTACTTTTTAAGAAATTTTCTCCTGGCGATATTTTTGTTTTTGTTTATTTTTACATTAGGTATATTGACCCCTCAGAAGCATTCGACTCTATACTATAACTATATTCATGAATTTTAAACTTTGTATTAAGACATAAATATAAAATTGAATAGTTGAAAACGCGATGATTCCTGTTTTGCGTCCTCTATACATTTTGATCAAAGCATGCATTATGGCCAGTAACGTTAACGTTCGGCTGCATTCCATTCCATCTCATCAATGTGAATCACGCATTCACGCTTAAATAAGTTTTATAATTTCCGATAAAAATCGTACTTATAAGTTAGTAGCTATAACTGAACTTGAGAATTAGACGGCATGGTTAGTTGAACTTAATAAATCATCACTTTCGGACAGCGTTATTGCTATCTATCACATTTCTAAGAAGAACGGTTGTAAGTCAAGTTTAAAATGTTACGACCCGCGTTTAAAATGTCAATGATTGGATTAGAAAACCCCTCTGCTTCTCATTGACAATTTCGTTTCAAAATATAACACCTGCTTCAAATCACGCGATTCCATTTTCATGAAAAGAAATCCATCTATTTTAGCAGATTGAATACTCTATTCCGAGTAGCTTGATATTCTAGAGTGACAAATGGGTTCTCAACTAATAAGCCATGGCCGACTGCTGGTGCACAGAAGCATTTTCAGGTGGGACGCAAACCTTTTAAAAATTACTGGAAGTAATTTAATTTTTGCCACTATAGTTTAAATTTTTGTAGTAGCAATAAATGATGATGCTGGTTTTTGCTACTGAATGGTAAACTTTATCCTAATTATTAAGATAAAAGTGTCTGATTTTATGGAAACAATTTCCCTTACATGAGAAAGTTATTGGGCCACATAATATTTTGTGCAACGAAAATGACCACGATGAAAACAAAAGTTGAGAACCACTGTTCTAGGCCAGCGTTTCCCAAATTTTTTTGGCCACGGAACACTTGCGATTTTTATCTCGCCTCGCGGAACATCAAAAAAGGAGAGGGTAAAAGAGATAAAGAAAATGGTATAATGTAGCGGTTACCATATGCGCCGCGAAAACTAACAGAATTGTGTTCAACATAACTAAAATATGAATGAATATTTTACATATTGCATTTTGTATAAATGTTTTATTGCTTGTTATTTCAAATGCTGTGTACTTTGATCAATAAATTCAAGACTCAAATTGTCTGAATTCGCATGCAGATTAGATATGATTTGTCTGATAAAAGTCAGACTTCCACAAATACATAAATTTCTACCCCGAATAAGATAGTGATGACATGCATACCACTTTTAATAAATTTGCATAAAATATTCAAATTTTGAAGAGTACTTTTCCTTTATTTAAAAAGATAATTTAGATTTTTTACATTACAATATTTAGTCATGGGTTGAATGCAAATGCAATATATAAAATTCTTCATAAAAAGATAAAAAAATGTATTACCGCCTGTCTTCCGGTCTTCTTTGTCATCGTCTTGATATGGTGTTCCACCGTTCATATCCAGTGATGCAGATTTTGTCGGCGATTTGTCCAAGGAGGATGAAACGGAAGATGTTAGATGATGACGATCATATCCAGAGGAATCTGATGTTGGTGATCGCGGAGAAAATAGTTCTGGATTCAAATATTCCGCTTTGATATGTTGGCCATGGCGATCCGGCTCTCCGGCATTGACGGAGCTATGCGTCATGTGGGGATCTTTTGCGACGTGTTGTACGTACTGTTGTGGTGGATTTTTTGCTTTCGTTGTAAGACTTGAATAAGAAAAATTTTCATTCGAATCGAAATTATTATTTACATCCAATCGTTGGTTTGTATTAACACAGTGATAAATCTGGGAGCCGGTGATAGCTGGATCAAGCGATCTTTGGCTGTAAGTGTGATAGACAGCGGAGCCGGTGTCTCTATGAGCGTTAGCTTGTACGTATCCGACGTTGTTACTGTGATTATTGTTGCATTGATATTCTGATGGTGATACTGAGTTAGGTCGTATTATATCACCTCTTGATGAAGTTGTACTGGAAAGTGGTCCCGAGGCTGCACCATGGCTTGAATGTAATGGGTTACTATGACCGCAATCTCCACCTAACAATTCCTTGCTTTCTCCAGATTCTGTTCCATCAGGAATAGCGTACGGTGCATGTGACACATCCGCACGATACGGCTCTCCTGGCATTTTTACTAAATTCATCTAGAAAATTCGATCTAAAAATTTCAAATGTAAAAATTTATTTTTATATAGCGTACGGTGCATGTGACACATCCGCACGATACGGCTCTCCTGGCATTTTTACTAAATTCATCTAGAAAATTTGATCTAAAAATTTCAAATGTAAAAATTTATTTTTATCCATTCTCGTCCGCATCCTGCCTCGTCAACACGCTATTATGAGGTGCTATCGAAGAAAATGTTGCGCCAACTGCCACCTTAATGGTTAACTCATAAATATGTAGTCACATAAATCAAAAATATACAAGTTTTATTAATACGTGATCTCGAATATATATTTTAATTGACGAGTCGCAATTCAGTAACAGATATATTTTATATATTTTATGAAGCGAAGAAATTTAATTTTTTCGGGTGATGAACTTCGTAATCATCATCAGAAAATTTAAAAAAATGAACAAATTTTTTTAATTTTTCCCCTTTTGTTTTCAAGTGCGTTCGTGCTCCCACGCGACCGTATTTGAGGTGTTGTAAAATATTTACGACTCAATGGACGTAAAAGTCAAACGCTCGTATATAAATTTGTGTTCAGCCCTCCAGGGTCAATATCCATCATTTCATTCTTCTCCCAGTGTATCTTTGTCTCACGTAGCAGTGTCGCCATTTAGCTCTCGTAAATATTTGGAAGGCATCCAACAATCAGCGATGAGATTTTTCAGCTGATTTATGGGATTTGCGATGTCGTAAAATTATGACGGCCGTCCTAGCTTCAAAATGATTCACAGGCATAAAATTTTTGGAAGCGCCGATCTCGCAAAATCAAAAATATACGTTGATTTACGCCACTTACAAGCCGCTGTTAATTATTGTAAAATATCAAACTTTTTATGCCGCCTTGAGGCCTCAATCGAAAATAAGAAATTAGTAAGACCTGCTGATCTGCCATTTTCAAGATATATAGGTCAATTGTCAGTTTTTCCGCAAGGTGGAAAATCGAGAACAACGACCAGAATTTCATGTTCCATTTTGAATTTTTATGAAATAGTTTTTGGATCTAGTCGTGAATTCATATCACTCCATTAAATTGATTACTATAGAACAGGTATTGTCGCTAAAAACCTTCAATGCAAAATGTTAAGCTTATCCTCCAGACAACAGTTCGCCGTACAGTCATTTTTTCATAAAACTTTTGGCTTTTTAAAAAACCTCTCACTCCAACGAATTCTCAGCATCATACGCAAGCAAACCTCTTTTAGTATTTGGGAACGAGTGCGATTAATAAAAATAGGATAACAAATTGCTTATATTTCAAACTAGATCGTATCGTCCGAGGTACAAACCACTTTCAACATCTGGACAATATCCTCATTTGTAATGACACAAGCGCCTGTCCATCGGCTTACATGGACATTATGACGTCACTTTTGGGGTTTGGTTGGTCTGGGTTTGATTTTGCTCAGCTACAGTTTCATTACTTTTATGGGGGCAATAATCATTTAATGCGGAAATAACTATGAGCTATTTTGTATTATTAATACCTATTCTTAACGTTGTCTAAACATTAGTGTCGTAAATATTATTTTCTATGGTTATAAAATTGGTCGCGAATTTAATGCATTCATAAAAGATTTTATTCGATGAATAATAAATTATTTTTTCCACAAAGCAAAAACCCCCTTATGTATTTATTGCGCAAATTTTTAACAGGCCTATTTATACATAGATATTGATTCGAAAATTCTTGATAATGAAATTTTTGCTTGCACAAATTTGCATCCAAAATTCAGTTTTGAATTGGTTTCATTTTCATTGTTGTAACCATGAGTTACGTCACTTCGGGCAGTCGATTTTCGACGTTTGCTCATCAGTGATTAATAGTAATAACCAACAATAATATATGTTGTAAGTTTTATGGGTCGACATCGCCTTTTTAACGAGTTTGACAATAAATTATGGTATTACGGAATGAGACTACATCTTTTGTATGCTTTGGGGTGAAATTATATCATTGGCTACAAAATTTTAAACAGAAACGAAATATATTTTCATACTAATCAAATTGTTACGACAAAAAATTTAATAGCGGTATATCATACTAATTTAAAACGACATAAATGAACTCATGAAAAAGCCATCCTTAAAACACGTTTGTAGGGCGCTTTATTTGCGAATTGTTATTTCGATATCGAAAAAGGGCAACTTCTACAATAAACTAATTCATACCTGCAGTCTTTCATCAAATTGTTGAATTTTGAATTTAAAACCCAATCGGTAGGTTGTTCATAATCAGATATTCAGAGTTAATGATTTTGTAAATATAAGTCAAAATATTATGATTTATGGCTCGTCTGAAACAATGCCTCGTGTGATGTCGTTTGCCGCGCCGTGGGTTGCGCTAAATCTTTCATCATATGATTATCGCATTCAGAAGAGAGGTCCGCCATTTTGTCACCCAATGGTCAGAAGAACAATTAACTGGGCAGGTTGGAATCGAAGTGAGCTCATGTAACACAAAAGAACAGTTAGATAGACGGCATTATTCCACTTCCAAAGATAATTTTTGAAACATGCAAGTATTGGCTGATTTGATCTATTATGCATTAACATTTTTTTGATTTTATAAAAGCATATTTTGCATTTTTATTACAAATATTCGATTAATTCGTATTAGGCAATAATAATTCAGGCTTATATTTAGACAATATTACATAATTTCATTTTGTTAAACTATTTCTTAGTGCAAAATGATCGTGCACAATTTATTTATGATAAAACAGTAAAAAAAAATGTTGAGATAGACACATACTATGAGGGCTTACTTAGGCAAAATACTTATAAAAAGCTATTTTTTCCTATTTCATAATCCAAAGCAAAGAATTAGTAGCCAAATCGGCGCTACTTCTTCCTATTGCCTGTTTTATATTTTGAAAAATGGTTGAATCACATAGGAACACAAAAAAGTCCCGCAGACTGTCTCTGATAAATAAATACAAACTGATGGACTTTGTATGACGTCATACCCCATGTTTTCGCACAGATTTGCTGCTATATCGAAATTTAATGCGCTAAAAATAAAAGTTTTAAAAAGTATACAGAACGTTTTCTTAAAATCATACATCATCAATTTAGAATCTACGCAAAACTCAGGACTTTCTGACTTTAGTAAATGAATCTCGACGAAGAATTAATTTAGCTATTCAATCTACAAATGTGGCGTCAACAGAATCAGTTCTGAAACAAATACCAAGATATCAACTATTGTGAATAAGCATAGACTTGGGCAACAATCAAAGCCGATCGTAGATATGTTATTGGTTTAAAAAAAAAGTCCGATTTTGTGCTGCAATGGCATTTCGTAACATCCCCGCTGCCTGCAGCTGATTCAGCTAATTAACTAATTACTGATTTGGCATCAACTAGTAAAACATCAGAAAATTGATGTATCAATTGAAAAAAATAATAATTTTGCGTTTTTTAAGTTACAATAACGTATATTTTACATGTTTGTTGTTCTGCTATTAATAAAACTGACATATTTTATACCTACAAACGACTACGAGTATATCTGTATATTGAATGCTTCCTACGCTTCTTTAATCCATGACTAACGAAAAATGTTTTCAACTTCAGAGTCTATAAAAATATTCTAATCAGCTAAAAATTTGAATGTCAACTTTTCGCACACGGTACATTGAATTTGACCCAAGTACAATTCGACCAACTTAAATCTATATCGAATTTGAATTTTCACTAGATTTTAATCTTCATGTAAAACGACTGTCTGTTCAATAAACATATATAAAAGCTTTCTTGTGGTTATAAACATGTATAATGAAAACCTTTAATTTATAAAAATTTAAAATGTTGAAACTTTTTCGATCGGAAGTTGCGGTGTAGTCTGCAGTTTAGCACCTAAATTAGGAATAATAAAACTGTAACTCAAGCGATAGATAGTACTAACGAAAGCGCGTACTACTAAACTTTTTAGCATCAACGCAAAATTCCCCTTTCTTCACAAATATGACATATTCGAGTCCTCCCTAATTACTGATTCAGCTGTTTCGCTACAAAATGCCCTCGCTTGCGAATATGAAGCAAAATTTGCTCTAGACTAGCCATTATATAAACTATGGAGAGTTTTAATTTCAATATTTTCAAGTTTGTTACAGTTCTGTAGCAAAATATCTAGTTCACTCTATGAGTTCGGCAACTAATATGAAGCTCGTTATGCCTGTACAAAAGCCTCGACCTCATCATTCCAATGTTGTAGTCATAAAGTAATAATAGAACGGCAGTAAAGCCAGCATCTGAACGCTCCGTCCATCCAAATTTATCACTATCGAAAAGAGTAGAAATCCGCATTTAGTGCACCAGTGACATTTATTACCCAGACAAGCTGCGCTAAATCTGCTGACGACAATTAAACGAGAAATGTCATGCTCATGGCATCGTTTCCATCCATTCGTTGTATCGCGGAGACCTACATGGAGATATAAAAATTCCTACCACAGTTTATGATTCACTTGAAGCATTTAGGGCTCAATTATAGATATAAAATTCTTGAGCGCGTAACATTAGATCCCTTACGATTATTTCAATTACTATACAGCATACCAAATAAAACTAAAAAATAGACGGTACCATTTCTTGCCACGGAACAGTTGTAACATTGTATCATTGCCTCAATATTCGCCTATATAAAAATTTGGCATTTGATTCAGAATATGAGAAGGATACGCGAAGTGGTATATCTGCTTTCATTTTGGCTGCATCTATATGTCCCTCGATAAAAAAAAACTACTAAATTAGTTAATTAACACAACTACCGTTTCGCCACAACTTTTATCAAGTCCACTAACCATGCGTCTCTTCACAGCCGTCTAACTAGTGTACACAATAAGCAAATTATGACGCAAAGCCAAATATAACGCGAGAAATATTGTTCTCCCCTCTACGGCGCCCACATCAATGGGGAAGCGTGCCAACAACATATCCTCTTCAATTTAACTATTTGTTTTGCTGATAAAATGGCAATAACAGAGTTAGAGAAATGAGCAATTACGGTTTTTACGTTGTTCAAGAAATGTCAGTGGCCACTGGATTTATACCTCTTCATTAGAGTA